GAGAGAGACAGAGACAGAGACAGAGACAGAGACAGAGACAGGGACAGAGTGTCATGAAAGAGAGAAGATGCTAAACCAGTAGGCTTTCAGCTGACAGTCTCCTGATAGCATGGCTGACTGTCACTAAGCATAGATCCCAGACTGACATATGTGACACTCCCTTACATTTGTCATCTTCACAAAGAAATTTTGTGGAGACAAGCCAGGCTATACTGTGAGGACACAATACTGTAAGTGCCCCATCTATTAAGGAGATCCAAGGGTCACTGATGCAGTCTCTTATGGTCTCACTCCAAAATTTTCTAAATTCAGATGAGCACACCAAGGGCGGGCTGCAGACATTTTTAGCTGACACCTCAAGATGGAAGCTGAACCCACACAGTCCATAACCTCTCTAAGCCTTACTCCATGGGGACGGAAGCAATAGCACCAGCCTGAGAGAAACACAGATGAGGATGAACTGTAACCAGTGAGCACTCCAACACGTTAGCCACCACTAATAGTACTGCGATCACTACACAAGATGCCAGCTTATGAGGATGCAGTTCCAGACCTCAGACAAGGGAACAGAAGAATTATGAGCGTGAGGATACAGAGTAACCAAAAGCCTGTGGACTTCCACGGGATGGGGTCTCAACGCAGTGAGAGAAGAAAGCAAAGATTGCCCTTAAACACCGAACTCTCAGCTAGAAATTAAAAGACAGGAAGCACGGTTGATGTGGAATGCCTTCCACACAGACAATTACCCACTGTGTCTTGACAGTCAGAGACTGGATGTAGCTAGTGTTAGAGTGTTATAAAAACAGGGCCTGCATTCCCCATGGAGGGCTACTCTCTCAGCCTAGATACACGGAGGGGGGACGGCTGTCATATCCAAATGATATGACAGACTTTGATGACCCCCATGGAAGGCCTCCCTCTTCCTGGGGATTGGATGGGGGGTGAGATGGGGTGAAGGTGGTTGGTGGGGAGTATGGGAGGGTGGAAGGGAGAGAGAAAACTGGGATTCATATGTAAAATAAGATTGTTTCTAATTTAAATAAAAAAGAATTTTAACAAGGGGAATAATTCCATACAATCGGTAGATGACATCGAAACAAATAATTATGCCTCCGCTATAATACTGTATGTTAGGAAATTGTGTTTGAGGTCCAATAACAGTCCTGGCCTTGTTAAGAAAAAAAGACATGGGGCCTGTGTGTGGCCCCCAAGAAGTTTTCTGATGGTAAAGTGTTGCCTTGTTTTTTTCCTGTTGTTCTACATTCATTGGTCCAATGTCAGCCTTGCTGCATCTCCTACATAGTCCAGAATGTTGGGGCCTTCCTTTTGAATCTTTTCCAGAAGCAGAATTTTTTCTAGGAATGTTATGTCTACAATTTCTTTTCAGATGGCCTATTCT